GTCAGTTTCAGCAGCGGCTGAATCTGGACGCCAGTTCCGACTTACATACAGATTCAACTTAAGAACAAACCTACAGTCCCTATCTTGTACGTAACCCGGGGACAGCCTGTATACGCTTGATTTTCAGTCTGAGTTGCATTTAAAGATCTGTCTCTTCTTTTACAGCGGCAATAGCTACCACTACTCATGTAACCTCTGAGTCAATCATGACAGGTATTCATGAGGAATGCACAATAAGTATGAAGCTTAAAATCACCATCAAAAATATTTGGCTCTAGAAAATAGTTGTAAATAATAAATAATTCTGAGGATTTATTTGTGAACACCCAACAGAGTAGCTGGGGATAGTAAAGGAAAACTCTCAATTTGAAATGTTGTCAATTTATAAAAGAAGTTTAAAAGAAGTGTGGGGTCCTTCCACTTTGTCATCCTTTTGCAATGAGACATCACTACAAAGAATGACCTGGATCCATGGGAAACAGGCTAAATACAAACTGTTGTCAAATGTGTTGCCAGTACTGCTTCCCACAGTTCCTATTGGCCATGAATTATGAACCGTGGCCTCTGGGAGCTGCGAGCAATTGTACATACAGACTTCCAGGTAAACAATGGGTTTGGTGGCCTGCCAACAGCTAACTTCGGCAAACGGCATCCAGCCCACAGGCTGGTTATTGCCCATCTCTGGAGCAGCTGGTGAATTTCACTCTTGGCTTTGAAGTCCCTGGTGGATTTCCCACAGATGCCTCCAGAGGATTTATTTAAATATGTCCTACCATTATCTAATTGCAGTTAATTTGCATGTTACCTTTTGGAGCCTAAGTATAACAGGCGGGCAAGGATATTGCATCTCTCCCAATTGCTAGAATGTTAAAACTCCCATGAGCTATTTGCCTGAGTAATGATCAGAGCGGATGTCCATAGATATTCTACATTTACCAGAATATTCTAGTGATGTGGATAATTGTTTTCTTTTGTTTTTCTCCTACAGCTCTTACAACTACAAGTAAGTAGAAAGAATGTGACTGGGAAGTGATAAATCAAAAGCTTAAAATATGCCAGCCACAAATAACTTCTATAGAAAAATAATTATTACTAGGGCTGTTGATTTATCGCAATTAACTCATGCCATTAATTCTAAAGATCCAATGTAAAATTTCAATAAATAGCACTATTAAACAAGAGAAAAACCAATTGAAATGTGTGCAATATTTTGGACATTTTTCTACATTTTCAAATACATTGATTCCTAGTACAACACAGAATACAACATATATAGTGCTCGCTTTATATTATTATATATATTATTATTTTTATTACAAAAAATGTAAAAATGATAAACAAAATAAATTGCATTTTTCAGTTTACCTTATGCAAGTATTGAACTGCAATTACTTTATTGTGAAAGTGTAACTTACAAATATAGATATTTTTTGTTATATAATTGCAGTCAATCACAAGACAATGTAAAGCATTAGTCTGCAAGTACACGCTGTCCTACTTCTTATTCAGCCCTTGCTAAATAAATAAGTTTGTTTGTATTTACATATGATATTGCTTCCTGTTTCTAATTTACAATGTCAACTGAAAGTGAGAACAAAGTTTCATCTGTCACTTTTGTAGCTGGCTTTGCCATGTATTTACATCACAGATATGCTAAACATTCATCTGCCCCTTTAAGTTTCAACCATCATTCAAGAGGACGTGCTTCCATGCTGATAATGGTCATTAAGAAAATAATATGTGAATTAAATTTTGTGACTGAACTCCTTGGGGTGTATTGCATGTCTCCTGTTCTGTTTTACATGCATTTTGCCATGTATTTTATGTTATAGCAATCTCAGATGATGACCCAGAAGATGTTCATTTTAACAACACTTTTACAGCAGATTTGAAAAAATTGAAAGAAGGTAAGAATATGACATTTCTAAAAATAGCTACAGCACTCTACCCAAGAATTAAGAATCTGAAATGCCTTCCACTATTGGAGAGTTGTGGAGCTTGATTTCAGAAGTCTTCAAAGAAAATCACCCCGATGCAGAAACTACAGAACCCAACCCCCCAGGATAGAAAATCAACCTTCTGATAGTGGCATCTGACTCAAATAATGAAACAGAACATGCATCGGTCCACTCTGCTTTGGATCGTTATTGAGCAGAACCCAGAGGCAGGTGGTTGAAATATGAAGGGACATATGAATCTTAAGCACATCTGGCATGTAAATATCTTGTGATGCTATGGGAAGACCTATTCACATTTTCAAATGACATTGTAAACAGGAAGTAGGCAGCACTATTACCTGCAAATTGTACCCACACTTGTTTGTCTGAGTGACTGGCTGAACATGAAGTAGGACTGTGTGGAGAGGTAGGCTCAAAAGTTTTACATTGTCTTATTTTTGAATGCAGGGGGCGGTTTTTGTACATCATTCTAACTCTGTAAAATCAATTTTCCTGGAAAACAAAGTGTACTACAGTTCTTACATGCAGTGAATTGAAAAATCCTATTTCTTCATATTTTTACAATGCAGATATTAGTAATAAAAATAAATGTACAGGAGCACTGTACACTTCACATTCTTTGTTACAACTGAAATCAATATATTTGAAATGGTCAGACACCTCCACTAACATTTAAATAAATGGTATTCTATTGCATAACCATGCAATTAATCGTGATGACATCCCCCTCAGAACTGATAGTGATCGTCATGTAACTGTGGATAATCAACAAAGCAGAGGGTTGGGGAAGGATATCGCATTGCCCAGGGGTTCAGAAGTTTAAGACTCCAATGAGTGATTTATCCAGGTACTAAACCATGATTATTGAAAAATTCATGCTAATTGTGGGGCACTAACGCAGTGTGCAAGGGGCCTGCTGCCCTTTCATGTCTACCAAGCTGCTGATTGTGCGGAACTGGTGGCCCTGACAATCCCATGTCTTGTTCCCTCTGATGCCCCCTAGTGGTTTCAAGAAATATCCCTTCTCCTGACATGGTAACATTCCATGTACCTGTTAATATCTGGGACATTATCATAGCCAATGGACGAGAACAGCACATCTGCCTTTTTTGAATTAGCTTCAAAAAGCTGATGCCAGCCTATGCTTCATAAGGTGACTTGCATTTACAGATTTGTTTCTTCTTTCCCAGCAGCTACCACTGCCCTCCTTGACTCAACTACCCAGGTATCCCCTTTCTCAACTACGACAGGTAAGCAGAAAGAATAGAACTGACAGATAAGCATGGAACTTAAAATCATCATCAAAATATTTTACTATAGAAAATAATTGGAAATTGGAAATGATACAGACAATGATTTAATTGTGAAGCCCCCACAGAATAGCTGATGTGAATTTGAAAGAGTCAGTTCATAAAAGCAGTTTAGAAAAAGCATCAAGACCTCTGTTTTCATTAAGCTCTAGCTTAATGGGACGTTGTGACTGGGTGTCTGCCCCAGACTGGCCCTTTAAGGGTAAAACTCAGCCCCGGGAGATGGGAGAGAGAAAAGCCCCACAGCTAAGGCAGGTACTAGCTAATCAGGGCCTAGGTGAGGGGAGTATAAATAAAGGCTCCTGGAGACAAGGAGAGGCAGACTTTTTAGCTGGGGAGCAGGAGGGACCTGGCTGCCAGGGAAGCTAGAGACTTCCTGACTTAGAGAAGGGCTGGGGAAAGTCAGGAAGAGCTGGGGAAGCTCTGGCCAGGCAAGCTCCCAGGTTGCAGGGCCTGAAGGAAGGCTTGAAGCTACTAGGGCTGCAGGGGGGCAGCCAGGGTAGGCAAAGGCAGCAGGTCCACACCCCCTGGGCAACGATGAGTGGCCATTCCAGACTGCAGTTTGCCCTTGAGGAAAGGCGCTAGATGCTGACTCGGAGTGGGTCACTGATGCAAGGTGGGCATAGGGGGTTGAGGGTTCCCAGAAGGGCAGGATCCCGGAGTGGGGGGGGCACTGCGGCAGGGAAGTACCCAGGTGTGGAGAAAAAAAATCAGTAACAGTGGTTGAGACACTGGCCAAAAGGGGGCGCTCCAGGGCTGAATGGGCTAATTCCTGAGCCACCAGCAGGAGGTGCCCATGGTAATGAGACACACCCGGGTCACAGACATCCATACAAAAAAAAGAAGGCGGTGGAAATAATTGTCTGACTCTGTGGACACTGACACACAATAGCACAAAGTGTTATCAAAAGGAAAGAATTTGAGTGAGCAAACAACACTTGTTTTTTTCTTCTAATCTCTTTTAAAACCATTTTTTTGGGGGAAAAAAGGCAAATTAAAAGATTTTCAGGGCAAAGCATGTTTTTTTAAGTAGATTTTTAAAATGGAAGTTCTTTTTAAAACCCAGATTCTTACAAGTTACAAGCAACTGAAACTAGGATCTTATAATGAAAATACTGGGAAACTTTAATCAGAGGGGGTGCTGCCTTCCCTGCCAAGTGGGGCCAAGAGTGCTCAGCACGTAATGAGATTTAACCTTAAATATAGGGGGGAAAGTTATAGCCACATTGTAATCTTAGCAGGCACTAAGGTTTCATGATGTGTGACTATTAAGTTGAAGGAGGTTCCTTTAAAAATCTAAATGTCTCTTTGATGATGTGGCTTTTGATGGAGTCTGGTGGGTAACAGAAAGAACTTGTGTCAGTGTCTACTTACCAGATTTACCTTCCACAGATACTACAGGGCAGCAAGGCTCTGGGTGGTATGGCTCAATCTGTGGCAGAAAAGCACACAGGCCAGACATGATCTGGGAGAATCTGTATTACTTATAAAGAAGTGTGATGATCGCTAGACCTGGGCAAACTTTTGTGGCTGAAACTTTTTTCACAAAACTATGCATGCTCAGGTGACTTTGGGCTTAACTGTACCAAACACAAACATAGCTCTGTAGAATAATAATTAGTAGTAGTTGTTATAATACATATAGTCATTAAAATAAAAGTGATGTTCCTGGTGAATTTCACCTGTGGTACTGATGGTCCCAGGTTATATTCCCACTGTTGTCCCCTGAGAATTCAGAGAAATATATTATACAAATAGCTAGTTACATATCAATTACAATGTCTAGCCCTAGTCTCACAACCTGTAGGCATAAATACAATAATTACAATAATCTCGCTATTAACAGTCAAGTCCTGTACCTGCCAAAATTTGGGATGTTTCAATCACCTTTTTCTGTTCCTACAAATGTTTCCTTCACCCTATTACAGCATGAGATGCATTCAACATAATACGAGGGAAAGTGTTTGATTATCCAGGAGAGATTGACACAGATTATATGCCAAATGCATGGAGTAAGCACGCTGATTGAAAACTGTAATAATTGTTCCTCTAATATTTTTGCATTATACTCCTCCCATAACAATAGTACTTAACGTGGAAGTGTGATTTTCTTCTTTTGAATTGATGGAGATTATTTTTAAAAATCCAATAGTTTATTTGTGTATATGGATATTGCAGGGTTGGGTGTGCGGGAGGGGGCTAGACCAGCAATTATTTACTAGGCTTTTGTAGTCAGGGTTGCATTAAAAGGTAAATTCATTCTTATATAGGAAATATCTTTTTACCTTGTGCAGGCAAGGGGAGAAATGGAAGTGATTTATATGTGAGAGTCATAAAGAAGGAGGGGACCGTTCATTCTGGGGATAGAAAGCATTATCCAAAAATATGGTTCTGTAGAATAAGAAATATTACTTAGTAAAGGTGGCACAGGTAATGACTCTGGTAGTTAATGCGGCCTAGAACTTTTCACTGTTTTCAGTGCTTGTAACTCTGCCGGACTTTAACAGTTAGGGCTGAAATTTTGCAGGTCAGGCTTCTGCCTCAATTTGAATTTATTTCGAAAGTTTTAGCCAAAATGGTTCTGCTGTTTCAGATCCATGGAGGTTAAGTCCATCAGTGCTTATTTGCCAGGATGGGTTTGTCAGAGGCTGGGAATGAGTGACAGGATGGAATCACTTGATGATTCCCTGTTCTGTTCATTCCCTCTTGGAGCACCTGGCATTGGCCACTGTGGGCAGACAGGATACTGGCCTAAATGGACCTTTGGTCTGACCCAGTATGGCCGTTCTTATGTTATTAGAGAGATTCTTATCCGACATTAATGGCTGTACTTATCTTAGTTCATTAAGCAAGGTAAGTAACACCTGTCACATTTTAGGGCCAAAAATGTTGTTTAGCCTGTGTCAAATCTCCTTGCAGGAGGCATAAGGGATCTGTCGAAAAAGGCTTTCTTTCTCAACAGAGACCCCTTTAGACTGCCACTGTTTGCCGACAAAGTGCTGAGTTGGCAAAACGCGGCGTCCATTTTTATGCAAATTAGGCACGGGATATTTAAATCCCTGCCTCATTTGCAATGTCGACCTGCCTAATCTGCATCCCTTTGCCAACAGAGAGATGCAGTCTAGACATACCCTGACAGTCTGGGTTTTGTTCCCACCAATTAACGGAAAGCCTGTATGAAATTACACTTATTTTCTATGTTAGCATTTGAAACAGTGATGTCACCAGTGGACAAGGTCAGCACATCTCCCAGTTTCTGCGAAGTTAAAATGGGCCTGTTATCTATTTGCATTTGCAAGAGGCAGACTTCATGGTATTGTACATTTACTATTTCCTTTGTATTCTGAAATTTTGTTTCCTCCTTCCCAGGAACTGTGTCTTCCACCACTCCCACGCCTATAACACGTAAGCATGGAAAAATGGAAGGGATTGATCAATTAGAGGATTAAAAGCACAGATAGGGTGCTATGGAAAAAATAATTATAATTAATAAATAATATAATTCTGAACAGCTGGTTCATTAGCTGGTGACACTACTGACTAGAAAGTTAGTAATTTACGAAAAGGAATTCAAAGAAGTTTTAGCCCAACAGCAGACCATAAGCTCCTCAGCCAAATTCTGGGGTTTTACAGTTACATTTTCCTCCCCTCCATTGTCATGTGAGACCCAGGTAAACAGGAGAGGAAGCACTGAAACTGACTATTCACACAGTTCCTCTTCCTTTTTTCTGTGGAGAAATGCCCGTGCCCAATGCTGGATGCACAGTGTAAAAAACCCTGCTCTAGGTAGAGCCAATGAGAATAAATAATTTTTCTGAGGGCAAATCATGAGTCCTTTCTGGCCAGGTTTGCATAGAGGAAAGCTTTCCAGTTTAGCATTGATTCCTCTGTGGTCTTACTGTTGCTTGTTGGGCCAGATCCTGAGATGGTGTAAACAGGCATTGCTCCATGGAAGTCGGTGGAGTTACACCAATTCACATCAGCGTGTTGTCATAGGGGAATATTAACTGTTTTTATCTTGTTGAGGTACAAATAATTGGAGGAAAACTAAAAGCTTCCATCTTCCTGCTACAGTCTTTTGTTTAGCTGTGTCAATGTCTTTTCTCATAGAATCACCTCCACCCTGTGCAAATAAACCATGTGTTAGCAGCACTGCTGAATGTATTAACCTATATGACGGTTATATATGCCAGTGCCCATATTCATACTACTATACACAATCAGGATGCCAAGAAGGTAAGCTGGGGGCTGGTGATCAGTTTTCTTTATCTACTACACATACAATGGTGCTTTTTCTGTTTTCATTTTAATTTTCTCAGTGAAAATGTAAATGGTCCGGGCGAGTTTCAGCCACTATGACCCATGCTGGTTGTGCTTTACTCTGCTAATAGCTCCCGTTCCATTAACCTGTTTTAGCTTCTTAAACATTGCTGAAACAAAAAGGTTGAACACAGTAGAGAAAATTGCACTCCACAGTGCTAACAGTGTAGATTAAACTGCATAGAAAGCAGACAGAATTCCAGGGTTAAAGTGGAAACTAATGTTTCTGGCCAAGGTTGTGAAATAGTGGTACCCAAAACAGGCTTCTAAAAATGGCCTGATTTTACAAGATGCTGAGCACCCACCATGTCCTGTTGTAGTGGGCCTGCATTGGAGGTGCTGGATGCTCAGCCTTTGGGGAAATTGGGACTCATACTTAGGTGCGTAAAGGCCAGCTTTTCAAAGCTATTTAGGCACCTAGCGATACAGATTGGAACCAGATAGGATCTTTTTTCAGAAGTACCTAAGCAGGTTAAGCAGCTAACCCCATGATTTCAATCATCAGACACTTTGGGCATCTCCATACCTTTAGAAATCTTCCCCCAAATAAATATGTCATAGAATCATAGGACTGGAGGGACCTCAAGAGGTTGTCCAGTCGCCTGCACTCATGGTAGGACTAAATATTAGACCATCCCTGAGAGGTATTTGTCTAACTTGCTCTTAAAAATCTTCAGTGATAGAGATTCCACAGACTCCCTAGGCAATTTATTCCAGAGTTTAGCCACCCTGACAGTTGGGAAGTTTTTTCGAATATCGCACCCAAACTACTTTTATTGCCCGTTAACACCACTGTTTCTTGCCTGTTCTCAGAAGTTAAGATTATTTTTTCTCCTTGCTACTTGTAACAACCTTTTGTGTACAGTAATTCCTCATTTAACACTCTAGATATATTACAGAAAATGATCGTGTTAAGTGAAAACGTGTTATGTGGGGTCAGTTTTCCCCTTGAAAATAATGGAAAAAGTGGGGGTTGCGTTTCAAGTGGTGGTGTTTCTTGGGACTGGGACATAAGGTTGGGGGAGAAAGGGTTACAGCAGGGAGGGGAGGTGTTTGGTTCTGGGGAAGGGAAGGGGAGGGGAGGGGAGGAGAGGTGAGGAGGATTGGGTTGGGAGTATGCCCCTGTGATGGGTCTTCCGGAACCCGCACTGTGTCCGGCGAGGGGGGGGGGGGGGGGGGGGGGCTGTCCCTGTCCCTCTAACCGGCATCTCCTGTCTGTTTGCTTTGCAGCTGCCCCTGGTGACCCTGCAGGTCAGTCTGTCCCCCCAGCCTCCTCCTCCTGTCTGGCTCAGCCGAGGGCAGTGGGGGTGGGGAACCCAGCCACTGGCCTGCAACCAGGGGCACAGGAGAGGGGGCAAGGTATCCTGTGAGGAGGAGTCAGCGGGGAACGGTGCGGCGAGCGGCGAACCCTCCGCCGCTTTGCAGGGAGGTGGGGGAAGCCCCGCGCAGCCGCTTGCAATGGGCCGGCTGGGGAAATTGTGTTATCCGGGGATGGTTATGTAACTCAAAAAACGTTTCCTAAAAAAAAAATTGTGCTATCGTGAAAACGTGTTAAACGGGCACATATTAAATGAGGAATTACTGTACTTGAAAAAATCCTCTCCCAGTCTTCTCTTCTCCATCTCAAACAAACCCAAATTTTTCAATCTTCCCTCTCAGGACATGCTTTTTAGATGTTTAATCGCTTTTGTTGCTCTTTTCTGGACCTTCTCCAATTTGTCCAGATCTTGCCTAAAATGTGGTGCCCAGAACTAGACACAATATTCCAGTTGGGACCTAATCAAAGTGGAATAATGCAGAAGAATTACTTTTTGTGTCTCTCTTATAACACTTCTGCTAATGCAACCCAGAAGGATGTTTGCTTTTTTGTTCACACATACAGGCTGTCCTCAGACTTACAACACAATTGATTCCTGAAAATTGAGACATCGTAACTTGCTCTCTATGCCATTATCTAGATCACTAATAACGATACTGAACAGAACCAGATGCAGAACTGATTCCTGGAAGACCTTATGTCCACACCTAGGCACACATTTATGAAAATTTTGGCTTATTCTATTAAATGCTGTAATACTTAGATATGTCCTGTGTTTGTTTTCAATGAGCAAACAAACATTATTTTAGTAGCAGAACCACACCAGTTTCTCTGTCCTTCATGCTCGCTGATAGCAGTGTATAACTCTTTGTTGAAAAGGGCTGGTTAAGTGAATATTTATCTGAGCCATCTTCCCAATAGAAGAAAAATTGGCAAGTATAGATCCTGTGTAGAGCTGCTTATTATCTTTAAAAATTAATAGCCCAATGCTGTAACCCTGCTTACTACACATATACTGTGTAATGAATTAATGTCTCTGCTTTATTTTTAGGAAAAGTGTTCCCTGGACTGTTAACACTGAATGCAATGTATACTGAGGACATGATCATTGTAAACTCTTCAGATTTCAAGGAATTATACATGAATGTCACAGATTTTGTGAGTCATTTTAAAAAACTCTTTCCATATATATTTAATCTTGAGATCTGCTTTCTGGACTGAGATAGGTGGAGGAAAATATGCAAATCTAGGTCAGAGTAACTTACACCTTCCTTTACCACTGTCAAGGGGTATGCTACAGTCAGTCTAGTGCTGGATTTATTGTTCTCTTTCTTCCATAGATAAGAAACCAAGATTTGACCTTGTATACTAGAGCCATTCCAAAAATGGGATTTCCATCCCACAGGAAATTCCAACGGTTCAAGATTTTGTTTTGTTCCAAATCGAATCAAAATAATCAAACTTCACAAGTTTCTGTGAAAGGGAAAACTTCCATTTGGGGATCTAACAGTGCTGCTGGCACCTGTCCCAGGTCTCCTTGTCCCCCTGCACTGCTCCTTCCCTCCTGAATGACTTAAGATGGCAAGAAGGGGGAGAAACCCTCAGTCTGATGACAGGAGGAAGGAAGGCAAACTCTGCCGCCGCCTCCTCCATTCTCTCCATTGTAGCTTTTGTAGAAATCAACATGTTCCTGCAAAACATTTAATTTTGATAAACCAGCATTTTCTGCTGGGAAATGGCCGCACTGGTAATTTTCTGACCATGAATCTTTGTTATTTTTAAGATCTTAGCTCTGGGATACTATATCCTCAGACTGCACATTTTTTGAGATCAGATCTTTCTACAGTAAGGGTGGATGAACATGTAGTGACAAGAAAAGAGACAAATACTTATTTTCTTATTACACACTCTGCACATTTTTTTTTTTTAAGCCTCATGCCTCGGTTGGACTAACATAGTTAACATGGCCCTAATCCAGAGTCGTAACTAGCTAATTTGGCGCCTGAGGCCAGGCCATCCTTGGTGCGGGCGGGTTTGCTGACGTGGCGTGAGGCACGAGCGAAGACCGCGTAATAGCTGTCTTTTCTGCGCCCCCTCAGCTATGCACCTGAGGCAAGTGCCTCACTCGCCTCGCCCTTGTTATGGCCCTGCCCTAATCAACAATTGCTATTAGTACGTTTGAGAGAGTAATTCTCGTTCATAAGGATAAAAGTAGGTTAGGCCCGGCATTAGGGCAAGGTGGTTGCCATGGGCCCCACGTCTTCAGGGTTCCACAGTGTCTGGAGCTTGACCAGCCACTCACTCGCTGCCCGGCCATGCGGCACAGCCATCTGCCTTGGGCCCTGCAAACTCTCTGGCCAGGCCTGACTTTAAGTAGAAGGCATATTTTTAAGAAATTGGTGCTTAAAGTTTAGATGTGTAAACATGGATTTAGGCACCTAAATAAGAGTCCTAATTTCTGATCCATAAGTAGAGGAATAGTATGAATGAGGGGGGGTGTTAAATACCATGTGCAGTTGTATAAACATTGAATGAAGTCTTGGAATGTATTTCCTGGGAAAGCAGGATATTCTGCTCTTTAATGGACTATGATGATAGATTTACTCATGATAAGTGTTACTTCTTGGTGCTATGTGTGGCACTGATTGGTGAAGGGCAGGGAGATCTTCCCCTCCTGCTAAGAAATGTGTGTGTGGAGGTCTAGGAACAGAAGGCTGTGTTTCCCATTGTGGGATTACCCCTGGGTACTCCAGCCAGGGACCTGGAATCTGTGTATGGGTGTGCATACAGCCTTGTGTAATAAGAGGCTCCCCACTAACCCTTGCAGGGCCATATGAATGTCTAGGAGCTGATGGAGGAACAGGGACATCTGTGGGTAGATGTGCCTCCTCACCACTTCCTGAGCTTGCGCTCTAGATGTGAGCCTCCATTAGACATGTGCTTAACAAGGATTCCTCCACTATCCAGTGCTTATGGGAAACCTCCCACTACCTTATGTGGTGTGGGGAGCTCCTGTGCACATGGATGGGACAGAGGTGGAGGCACAGAGAAGTCACCACTGCCTGAGGTGCCACTAACTATTCACATTTTTCCAAGGGGGCAGGGAGGGAAATGATGATCATCCTGAACCCAGGTCTCTGCTTCCATCCCTCATCTGCTTCCTCACCATGGATATCAGAGTCCCAAATATGCTCCTTCATAGTATCATGGGGAACGGGGAACAGAGCTTTGGTTCCATGGGTCCCCCTTCCCCTTGTCCAATCCAGATGGGGAAGATCTGGGCACAGCAGCATCCCTTTAAGTGTGGAACCTGGGAGGATGCTGCCACCCTAAAGCATCTGTATATAGTGATAACTTGTTATTATATTTATAATTTTATGACCCACTCAGACAGCACTTGCTTAGACAAAGTGCTTTGAGGAGTTTGCCTGGACATGGAGTGACAAACTCTGGGTCCTTAATTTCCCTCAGTGGCTCGGAGAGAGATGAACCCTTCCACCCCAATTTCTCTTGGATATTTTGATCTGTGGCCTTGCAAAGCTATGAATCAAACTCATTTTATCTTTCACAGTTCAACACAACTTTCCAGAATGAGACAAGCTATGGCGAGACGAAAATTGTGAATGTAATGTAAGTTCAGCAGCGTGTGTGTCTGTGTGTGATCTTTCTCTTGGGTTGCATCTAGACTACATGCCTCTGCCGACAGAGGCATGTAAACTAGGCTACCTGACATAGGCAATGAAGCGGGGATTTAAATAATCCCCGCTTCATTAAAATAAAGATGGCCGCCACACTGTGCCGGATCATCTGATTGTTGGCACAGCAGTCAAGATGCAGATCGGTCGACAAGGGAAGCCTTTGCCAACCGATCCCTTATGCCTCGTGAAACAATCAGCTGATCCGGCACAGAGCGGTGGCCATCTTTATTTTAATGAAGCAGGGATTATTTAAATCCCCGCTTCACTGACTATGTTGGGTAGCCTAGTTTACATGACTCTATTGGTGTGTAGTCTAGACGCACCCTTGGTTTACAAAGCATTGACCAAGAATGCATAGCTCACATTGCCTTCTTGTTTTGTCCCATTTTATATACTGTCAATCCTAATTTCATCAAATCAGATGAGGAATAGAAAATAAACTCAGTTAAACAAGATTTCAGATTAGTGGGGACTTTGGGCCCACTTTGGAAAATACACATTTTCAAAATCAGAAGTTTCAGGCTCATTGTGTGTGTAGGGTGAGCTGATACAACACCCTCCATATACACAGCAGAACTTCCACTAGTAATAATGGGAGTTTTGCAAAAATACTGAGAGCAGAATATGGCAGTGACATGGTATGGAAACGGCCAGATTCTAAGAGCCTGACTTATGCTCAGTAACTCTTTATTCCATGAGCATTCCCGTTGCTAATAGCCATTGGAGTAAGATATAAACGGCATAAGACCCTATTTATCATGAATATGAGTACCAGAATCTGGCCCTTAGTAAAGTTTCTATTGTATTAAGCATCATTAAGAGGGGGAAATGTCTGGGGGCATATTTAGGACCACTATTACCTTTTACTTATTTTTTCCTGTACAAATTAGGGACGTAAGCGATTAGTCTACCAGTTGATTAGCTGATAATCATAGAATCATAGAATACTAGGACTGGAAGGGACCTTGAGAGGTCATCAAGTCCAGTCCCCTGCCGTCATGGCAGGACCAAATACTGTCTAGACCATCCCTGATAGACATTTATCTAACCTACGCTTAAATATCTCCAGAGATGGAGATTCCACAACCTCCCTGGGCAATTTAGTCCAGTGTTTGACTACCCTGAAAGTTAGGAACTTTTTCCTAATGTTCGACCTAAACCTCCCTTGTTGCAGTTTAAGCCCATTGCTTCTTGTTCTATCCTCAGAGGCCAAGATGAACAAGATTTCTCCCTTCTCCTTATAACACCCTTTTAGATATCTGATAACTGCTATCATGTCCCCCCTCAATCTTCTCTTTTCTAAACTAAACAAACCCAATTCTTTCAGCCTTCCTTCATAGGTCATGTTCTCTAGACCTGTAATCAGTCTTGTTGCTCTTCTCTGGACCTTCTCCAATTTCTCCACATCCTTTTTTAAATGTGGTGCCCAGAACTGGACACAAGACTCCAACTGAGGCCTAACTAGCGCAGAGTAGAGCGGAAAAATGACTTCTCGTGTCATGCTCACAACATACCTGTTAATGCATCCCAGAATCATGTTTCCTTTTTTTGCAACAGCATCACACTGCTGACTCATATTCAGCTAGCGATCCACTATAACCCCTAGATCTCTTTCTGTTGTACTCCTTCCTAGGCAGTCGCTTCCCATTCTGTATGTGTGAAACTGATTGTTCCTTCTTAAGTGGAACACTTTGCATTTGTCTTTATTAAACTTCATCCTGTTTACCTCAGACCAATTCTCCAATTTGTCCAGATCATTTTGAATTATGACCCTATGCTCCAGATTAGTCACAACTCCTCTCAGCTTGGTATCATCTGCAAACTTAATAAGCGTACTTTCTATGCCAATATCTAAATTGTTGATGAAGATACTGAAGAGACCTGGTCCCAAAACAGACCCCTGCGGAATCCTACTTGTTATACCTTTCCAGCAGGATTGTGAACAATTAATAACTACTCTCTGAGTACAATTATCCAGCCAGTTCTGCACCCACCTTATAGTAGCCCCATCTAAGTTGTATTTGCCTACTTTATTAATAAGATTATCAGGCGAGACTGTATCAAACGCCTTACTAAAGTCTAGGTATACCACATCCACCGCTTCTCCCTTATCCACAAGACTTGTTATCCTATAAAAGAAAGCTATCAGATTGGTTTGACATGATTTGTTCTTTACAAATCCATGCTGGCTGTTCCCTATCGCCTTGCCACCTTCCCAGTGTTTACAGATGATTTCCTTAATTACCTGCTCCATTATCTTCCCTGGCACAGAAGTTAAACTAACTGGTCTGTAGTTTCCTGGGTTGTTGTTATTTCCCTTTTTATAGACAGGCACTATATTTGCCCTTTTTCAGTCTTTTGGAATCTCTCCTATCTCCCATGATTTTCCAAAGACGATAGCTAGAGGCTCAGATACTTCCCCAATCAGCTCCTTGAGGATTCTAGGATGCATTTCGTCAGGCCCTGGTGACTTGCAGGCATCTAACTTTTCTAGGTGATTTTTAACTTGTTCTTTTTTTATTTTATCTTCTAAATCTATCCCCTTCCCACTAGCATTCACTATGTTAGGTATTCCTTCAGACTTCTCGGTGAAGATCGAAACAAAGAAGTCATTAAGCATCGCTGCCATTTCCAAGTTTCCTGTTACTGTTTCTCCCTCCTCACTGACCAGTGGGCCTACTCTGTCCTTGGTCTTCCTCTTGCTTCTAATGTATTTATAAAAAGTCTTCTTGTTTCCCTTTATTCCCATAGCTAGTTTGAGCTCATTTTGTGCCTTTGCCTTTCTAATCTTGCCCCTGCATTCCTGTGTTGTTTGCCTATATTCATCCTTTGTAATTTGTCCTACTTTCCATTTTTTTATAGGGCTCCTTTTTTATTTTTAGATCATGCAAGATCTCGTGGTTAAGCCAAGGCGGTCTTTTGCCATATATTCTATCTTTCCAACACAGCGGAATAGCTTGTTTTTGGGCCCTTAACAATGTCCCTTTGAAAAACTGCCAACTCTCCTCACCTGTTTTAAGCATAAGCTTATTGGATAGTTGAGGAATGACTTGACTAGTTGCTCCCCCCCTCTCCCCGCCCCACTCGCTGCATCTATCAGAGAGAGACAGGAAGGGTGGGGAGCAGGAGCTGGTGCTGCTGGGAGCCAGCTTAAAAATTGGCTCCCCACCAGCACAATCTCCGGGGCCAGGAGGCGCAGGGGGAAAATGATGCAAGTGGGGACTGAAGCAGTCCCCTGCTCGTGCTCGTTCCCAATGAGGCCACTTCAGCCTTTGAAATGTACAAGAGTCCTGCAGGGCATGTGTACATTTCAAAAACAGAAGCGCTGCAGGGAGCACGGGGCGAGCAGGGGACTCAAGCTATCACCTGCTCTCCTGTGTTGCCACTGCGGCCGCTTCAGCCTTTGAAATGTACAAGAGCCTCCCAGGAACCAGTGCGAGCAGGGGACTACTTGAATCCCCTGCTGGCCCCATGCTCTTTGACAGGCAGCAAGCGGGGGAACAGGAGCTGGTGCTGGGGGGAGCCAGCTTAAAAGCCAGTTTCCCCCAGCACTATCTCTGGGGTGCCACCTGCTTCCCACCTGCTGCCTCTATCAGCAGCCCCTGTTCGCATCCAGCCCTGGCCGCTGTGAACAGAGGCTGCTCTGGCACCAGCAGTCCCGGCTCACGCTGATCACTGGCTCTTACTACATTTAAAATGCAGAGCTACAATGTGGGTGGCTTCTGGAGCTGGCACATAAGAATGGCCATACTGGGTCAGACCAAAGGTCCATCCAGCCCAGTATCCTGTCTGGTGACAGTGGCCAATGCCAGGTGCTCCAGAGGGAGGGAACACAACAGGTAATCCTCATGTGACCCCTCCCCTGTCACCCACCTCCAGAGAAACAGAGGCTAGGGACACCATTCCTACCCATCCTGGCTACAGCATTCCTACCCATCCCACCTCGAGCTGGCTCCTGGAGCTATCCTCGCTGTGGCTCTGCAGAGTGGTCCTATTTACTAATCATATAGTTAATACAAATTGTTTGACTATATCATTAGCCTGGTTGCTGCATTTTAACAGCCTTAGTACAATTGCACCTAACACAATGCAAAAATTACTTAGGCAATTGTAGACCCAGGTTGGTTGAAAATCAGGCTCTTAAAAGTGTGATAAGTAGGGTTAAGAGTGAAAACCCCATGGCTACGTCTAGACTGGCATGATCTTCCGCAAATGCTTTCAACTGAAAAGTTTTTCCATTAAAAGCATTTGTGGAAAAAAGCACTTTTTGCAGAAAAGCGTCTGTGCCAATCTAGACGCGGTTTTGCGCAAGAAAGCCCCGATCGCCATTTTTGCCATCAGGGCTTTTTTGCGCAAAACAGTTTTTAGCTGTCTACACTGGCCCTCTTGTGCAAAAACATTTCCAGAAAAGGGCTTTTGTCCAAACGGGAACGTCAAAGCATTTGCGCAAGAAGTACTGATTTCGGACAATAGAATGTCAGTGCTTTTGCTCAAAATCAAGTGGCCAGTGTAGACAGCTGGCAAGTTTTTGCGCAAAAGCGGCCCCTTTTGTGGAAAAACTTGCCAGTCTAGACGCAGCCCATCAGAACAGGGGCTGAATGCCTCAAGTTATTAAGTAGAACAGAGAAGATTAAACCTCTTGGTTAACAATTGACATGAGATCCAGCTTGGTGCTAATAACCAGGAGTCAGTGAATTTGTGATCTCAGTCTAATTTTTATTGAGAGAGTGATTATTTCATACAGTCCCGTTGTGACTCGTTTGGCATTTGTTGCCTCACTTGTTGGCAGAGCAGAGACTAAAGAATGAGATGCAGAGACAGAATTATCTTCAGCCCTCATGATGGTATCTTTGAGTGAGAACCAAGAGGTAACACACAATGGTATAATATGTTGGTGTGTAAATCTGCTCTCGCTGGCTGTGACATGCCTGTTTGATAGGTTACAAAAATCTGTTATTAAAGTACATGGGATTTTATGGTACTTTCTTCATTGACTCTATATATTTATTTTTCAGACAATTTTTAGCAAATTCTAGAATACAGAGTAGAGCTGTGGCCAGTGGAATCAATGTGACAGTGAAGAATGTGTTTGAACTGACCACAACTTTAAACGCTAGTGAAGTTACTAAACTCATACAGGCAGCAATAAATGGCAGTTCCAATTTCAATCTCTATAGCTATTATGGTAAGTACCGCACTAAGGACACTGGTTGAGATTTTCATACTCTTCATTAAATTGAATGAGTTATGTGTTTAAATCCCCTATGCTCCTTTGAAAACTCAAGTGTTCATTGTAACTTTTGTCTTTTTGAGACCCAGGAAATGTTATATTTGTATTTAGGAATAGAAGAGAAATACTCATTTTCAAAATGAATGCTTTCCTGAATTTTTCCAGATACCTAATGGGAGTATTGTTAAGTATTTTTATTTAGGGTTTATCACAGCACCCAGTCTGGATCTTAACCCTATTGTGCCGTGTACTGGACAAACACCAAAAAAGTATAGATCTTGCCTTTAGATTGGAAAAAATAAAAGAAATGTGACTCCTGCGTTTCTGAGCAAAGACAATCTCTTACTGAGAGTGAGGAAGAAACTTCCTTAATTGTCTGATTATTCATTATTCTCCAGTAGGGGGTTTCTTAACTCATCTTTAATGAATCTGGCAACATTTAGAGCAGCATTCCTACATAAGAAAATATTTCAGTACATGCATGTGCTTAAGTCTTTTCTTGAACAGGGATGTAATAAGCACATACTTGAACACTTTCCTAAGCTGGAGCCATAGTGAGCAGGTACTGGACTAGACAGTCACCTCGTTTAATCAAGTATGGAAATCCTTATGTTATTAAAATCACCAGCACCTGCAGGAAAATGGCATTACTGCTTAGAGCTGAACATCTCCTATTATGTTTTGCGCTTTCCCTATTATTTCCTGCAAAAGTAAAATAAACACACACACAGAAGCTGGGACCAGTCAAAAAATGTTGACATTTTTTAAGGAAAAAAAGGGACAAGTTATTTTTTTTACAATGTTCGTGAAAAATGTTCACATTTTTAACCAGCAAAAAAAACCTTCTGCGTTTCTGATAACTCAGTCATTTATAATCAGTGCCCTGATCCTGCACTGAGCTCCACACAAATGGACACCTGTACCCATGGAGAACTCATGATGGGAGCAGGGCCTTAGAGCTTATTTCTACGTACTCCAAATACTTAGCCAGTAAAACACTTACACAGGAATAATTCCATTGAGTTCAGTGGAACTACAATTGCACTTTATTGCCTTGCTAAAACAAGGCCATCAAAAGCCAGCATATTTACTGTTCACATGCTTAGAGTTAAGCAAGTGCTTAAGGGCTTTGCTAGATCAAGGTCAGATCACTGAGCACCTTGTAGGGTTAAAAGGAGATGAATCTTTTGTTGAAAATTTCAGGGAAGGGTCACCGGGTGACCTAATATGTGGCTCAGTTGTGTCTGAAGTACAATACCTTTGCACTCCTTGTGAGTCATGATGGATTAAGGTTGCTCTGTAAGGATATGCCTAAACTACACAGTTTTTTTGAAAAATGTAGCCGTCGCGTTCTTTTGAAATTAAATTGAAAGAACACGTCAGTTTTTTCGACAGCGGTAAACCTCATTTTACGAGGAAGAATGCCTTTTTTTGAAAGAGCTCTTTCCAAAAAAGGCATTCTTGAATGCAAACAGGGCTTTCTTGAAAGAGAGTGTCCAGATTGACTGGATGCTCTCTTTCAAAAAAGCGTATCGCTTTTTCGAAAGTCTTGTGGATGTTTGAAAGAGGCTTGTAATCTAAACATACCCTAACACTGAATCTTTAAAACAAGGGTAGAGAAAATATGGCTGATGTGCTGGATTTGACCTGCCAAGCATTTAGATCCGCCGTGATCCTCTGGGTCACCATGCAGGTGACCCTCATGCAGGTTCCCTGCCTGCTGTGCCCCCTGCACAGTGCTCAAAGAGGCAGGCTGCAGAGTCCAGTGTATGCGTCTCTGAGCGGCACATGGAAGGGTCTTCGCACACTGCCCCTTTCCCCAGCATAATCCTCGCAGGATGCAGAGCGCCTCTCTCCCAGTGACGCACGGTGCGCAGAGAGGCACAGGCCAGCCCCAGCTACTTTAAGCGGCGTGCAGAGCATGGCAATCAGTGAGCCTTCCCGAGAGTCCTGCTGGGCTGCTGGCTGGAAGCTACCCTGGGGAAGGGACGGGGTGGAATGCGACACACTCTGAGTGGAGTGGAGGGTGGGCTGTCCCCAGCCCGTCCCCATCCCTTCTGGGAGCACAGAGCTGGGCTCCCACACACACCTTGCTCAGGGGCCTGTGGAGGCTGTCAGTGCCTCTACTAACAAACTATTTCTGGTAGTCCTTGTTTTTTGAGGATATAATATCTAAATGGAAAAATCAAACTAAGATCTCAGTAGTGCATTGTTAATACCATTTACTTATTTTTTTTATCACTTATAGCTTTGCAAAGCCCTAGCTTTTGAAACTGACTTTAAAAAAATTCCTGATAGATTTATTTTCAAAGTATCATTTTGAGGGTTGTTTTCTTCCTGAATCATGGGTAAGTAATATAGGAATATCGAAATTGCTACGCTAGTTCAGACAATCAAGTGAATCTAATGCAGCATCCTATCTGAGCGATCCGTACCAAACACCTCAGAAGAAGACAGAAGGAATTCCGTAGTGGACAATTACAGGATAACACATCCAAAGGGGATATTTCTTCTAACTCCAATAAATCATAATGCTCCTCATCTAATCTGAGCTCCTATCCCACTGTCATGTTCTAGATAAGTCAAACACAGCATGCCATATTAAATATTAGCCCTGATCCTGCAAACAGGGCCATCCCTACCAATAGGCAAAGTATGCAGCCATGTAGGGCAGTCCTGGGGAGGGACCCAAGATGCTCACCACTCTGTTCCATCCCCCTTTTCCCAAACAACATGGCCCATAGGACCAGCAGGAGACTCGTGCTGGCAGCAGGTGTCAGTCCACTCCTGGACTCACCACTGGTGGCAGGAAGCAGAGCAACCTGGGCCCCGCCCACCCCACCCTGATAGCTCCCAACTGTGTTGCTCTGCTT